AAAATTCAAAACACTAACCACAGCTTACAAAGCCATCCACAACACTGCCCCTAGCTACATCACCAACCTCATCCACAGATACTGCCCAAATCGCCCACTTCGCTCCTCCCATGATATCCTCCTCTCAAGCTCCCTCATCACCTCCTCCCACGCACACCTCCAGGACTTCTCCAGAGCCTTTCCCATCCTCTGGAACTCCCTACCACAGCATGTCCGGTCCCCACCCTGTCTGCCTTTAGGCGATCTTTGAAAACTCACTTCTTCAGGGAAGCCTACCCCACCTCCACCTAAGAACTGTACTTGAATCACCTCCGCCAGATCATCCCCCGCAGCTATCACCTTTTGTATCACCTCCCCCTTCCTTTAGATTGTAAGCTCCACGAGCAGGGCCCTCCTATTACTTCTGTACTGAAATGTATTGTAATTGTACTGTCTCCCTTATATTGTAAAGCTCTGTGCAAACTGTTGGCGAAATATAAATCCTGTATAATAATAATATGCCTCACACAGGGAAATTACAATCTACAATTAAGATACAATCATAACTCTCTGTCTTCACTGTGTAATCTCATAATCTGATTAAAATATGATCATATTCATGAGCAAAATTTTGACAATTGATGCAAAACTATTGATAATTTTCCATTTTAGCTGATCGACTGAACGAATACAGTCTAAATTGAGTCTAAATTGACTCAGAATTGATTAGAAGGGAAGATATAGCTATTCAATTGTATGTGGATGGTTTTGATTGAATTGCACATCGATCAGTTAAAAAAAAAAACATAGCATGTGTGGCCACCAAAACCTAATGCGGGGGTGAGGGCTATAAGGAAGCATCATCACTCTGCCTCGAATGTGGCAGGTAAATAGCCTGGTTCTGGGTTCCTTTTTATTGGTTGTCAGCAAGTGACATAGATAGAAATCAAGGGGCAACTCCAACTAATAGCTTTGTGTAGAGTCCTGTAAAAATGTTGACTCATTCATTTCCTCTGACTTGAGCCATCACTCTTTATCTTTAAAAGAAAACTATCTTAGATTGTAAGCTCCAAGGAGCACGACCCTCCTAACCCTCTTGTATTGAACTGTACTGTTGCTGTATTGTCTCCCGTTATATTGTAAAGTGCTGAGCAAACTGTTGGCGCTATATAAATCCTGTATAATAATAATAATAATGGCTTGAAAAATGTTTTTTAAAGATTTCAAAATGTTTAATATCTTTTTCACTTTTTCTGCTGTATATACACTCTTTGTTTTCAAACATTTAATGCGTGACAAAGGATTTTCAGAGTACTAAAGCTTAGCTAAAGAGACAGCAGCTTGCCTTCCAATGAGGGGTGGATCACTACCAATGAGTCATCCAATTACATGCATATGTCAGCTGTTAAGTTTTTGCAAACCCTATTGTTTTCAGAGCTTGAAATGTCAGTGGTCAGGTGGAATGTAGTCTGTTGTTTGAAGACACTGTGGGCTGTGGTGGGGTTGCCAGAAAAAGACATTTAAACATAGGACTCTAAGACAACACTCCAGACAAGTGAGGGAGGAGAAAACTGAATTACTTTATGTTAGAGCTTATGAAATGACAAGATTTAAGATTCAACATAGTCAAAAATGTAGATGGGAATGTATGAAACACTGAATGCATTAGCTCAGGGCTGAAAATTTCAAGTCTAGACCTACTAGCCAGTTACAAACCTTACTCTCCCACCAGTTGCCACACCCAACCTTTCCCAGGTCTGCCTCCAACCCTACCCCCGCCTATCCCCCAACCCCGCCCCCAGCCCTGCTCCCAACCACGCCCCCTTAAAGCTTATGAAATTACATTTTTCTTTAAAATAAGTCCAAAATATAAAAAAACTGCAATTCTAACATTGCTTTATTATGTAAATTTAAAAACAAAAAAAAAATATTTTTGACTTTTTAAACATGTCCAGTAAAAAATTTTAAAAAATCAAATAAGTTTACACCAAATTGTATTCTGCTACATGTCCCAATATGTGTAAATTAATTGGTTTACATGTAATTTATAGCGTTTGCAAATGGCGGTATAGATACTGGAATTTTTTTCTTTTCATTTTATTTTCACTAGTAATGGCGGTGATCAGCGACCTATAGCGGGACTGCGGCGGGCATTTTGATACTGGGGGGGAACTGACTTGGTGTCACTGATATCCACAGTGACACCAATACAGTGATCAGTGCTAATAAAAATCACTGACACTGTACTAATGGCATTGGACAGGAAGGGGTTAACATCTGGGGTGATCAAAGGGTTAACTGTGTGTGTTTTTATTATGGGGCTGTGGGTGTGCTTTCCACTGTAAGCACACTGCTTTATATGGCTCTGCTATGCTGACAGGGGAAATATCTGTGTGGTTTACATACAGTTCTCTCCCCTGTCTGTAATACTTGGCAATCACCATGTGGCGGCGAGTAATCACCGGCCGGGACCCTATGATTGACAGCGAATTGTGCAACAGGTAGGGCGCGCGTGTGGCCTGTGCATGCCCCCTACCCAGAAATGCAAAATAACGTATATATACATGATTCTGCGCACTCCTGCTGCCCTGTAGCAGGATTTCTGCTATAGGGTGGCGGGAAAGCGGTTAAATTACACTATTAAACATTTTATTCAGAAGTTACAAAAATAAATAGTAACAACAACAATGTAAACAAAAAAGGAAAATAAGTGCTTTACATCAATAGGGACACCAACGCTGAGGCACTAATTCTCCTATTGATACCAAAGCTGAGGCACTAATTCTCCTATTGATACCAAAGCTGAGGCACTATTACTCCCACTGACACCAACGATAGAGCATTATTCCTCCCACTGACACCAACAATGGGGCACTATTCTTTCCACTGATACCAACAATGGGGCACTATTCTTCCCACTGACACCAACGATGGGGCACTATTTCTCCCACTGACACCAACAATGAGGCACTATTCCTCCCACTGACACCAACGATGGAGCACTATTCCTCCCACTGACACCAACGATGGAGCACTATTCCTCCCACTGACAGCAACAATGGGGCACTATTTCTCCCACTGACACCAATGACGTGGCATCATTCCTCCCACTGACATCAATGACGTGGCATCATTCCTCCCACTGACATCAATGACGTGGCACCATTCCTCCCACTGACACCAATGATGGGGCACCATTCTTCCCATTGACACCAAGCATGGGGCATTGTCCCTTTTACTGATACCAATGATAGGGTACAATTCAACCACTGATACAAATGCTGAGTCCCCACACAATGATGGTGTGTCCCGGCACAAAGATCCACAGTTTGGGGCCCTGGAGTGGTTCTTACTTGTGTTGTCAGTGGCTGTCCTCCGTCCTCTCCCCGAGTACCTGGGCTCCTCATCCCTCCTTCAGCTGCAGGAACAGCAGTGCCATGCGGGGTGAAATGTCGGGTCCCGGTGTCCGATTCTTGGGATCAGAGTGGCCACTGCATGCCAAGTCACACCCATCTTGTCCCCGTACACTGGAGTGGAGCCCACCCACTGCTCTAGAAATGGTCAGAGAATCAGTGGAGCTCATGGCCCCCCGCCCGCTCCTTCTTCGCTGTGGAATAATATACAGCCCAGTGTGCCGCTGCCTGTTTCCTGTCTTGTGCAGAGTGTCAGCACACACTCACCCCACATTATTTCCACTCGCCAAATGCGAGCAGGAGAGTGGAAATTTCAAGGTCTGGATTAGCTGGAACATTTTTCTAAAATAGGTTGCAATGCTGGATGTGCACCTTAAAGTGTTACTAAACCCAGGACCCTGCATTCACTATATCTGGTCTCCCAGAGTACACAGAACATGGAAATGCAATTATTTTAGTAAATATAAACTGCTAAATACCTTTTTTCATCAGCATTTTGAACAGTCTTGTGACATCTATCAGTGTCCAGACGAGCACTGGTTAAAGCTTGTAGGAGGAGTTTTCATTCTGCTGTAGGAGGATGCAGAATCCCTGACCTCTGCCTGGACAGTGCTGATTGGCCCTGTGCTGATCACATGTACTCTCCCAAGAAAAAAAAAATATCCTCTAGCAATACACATCAAACTGAGCATATGCAGAGTGTCTCCACAAGATATGTTTTATCAGGAGATAAGAGGGGGACACTGGAAGAAGGGGAGTATCAGAGAAGTCAGGATCAAACAGCCTTTTTACACAATGCAGAGGATTAACCCCTTAGGCTCTACAGTAAGTATAACAAGCATGCTTTACTGCATCTATAGACTGATTTCACTGTTGTGGGTTTAGTAACATCTTAACCACTTTAGCTCCGCCGCATAGCAGAAATACTGCTACAGGGCGGAAGTTGTGTGCAAATTCATGTATATATATGTGATTTTGCAATTCCAGGTAGGGGGAGTGCACGAGTCGCGCACGCGCCCTACCTGTGCTGCGGCTGTTAATCACCGGGTCCCGGCTGGTGATAACTTGCTGGCACGCGGTGACTGCCGAGGATCTCCGACGGGGAAGGGGGGGGAGAACAGTTAGTAAACAAAACTCCTCCCTGTCATCTCCGGCATAATGCTTTGCATGGCTGATTTTAACCCCTTCATGCCCAGTGCCATTAGTACAGTGTCAGTGCTATTTATTAGCACTGATCACTGTATTGATGTCACTGGGGATGTCATTGACACCAAGTCAGTGTCAGAATGCTCTTCACAGTCCACAGTCCCGTTATAAATCGCTGATCGCCGTCATTACTAGTAAAAATAAACTTTTTTTAAAAAGCCCAGTATATATGCCACCATTTGTAAACGCTATAACTTTCATGTAAACCAATTAATTTATACGTATTGGGATTTTGTTTAGCAAGGACATATAGCAGAATAGGACAGGTTTTCTGTTCAGCTAAGTGCTGTCATCCTGTCAATATCAATGACAGCTTGAGAGACTCAGCGTACATATCTTCCCACTCATGCTAGTGTTTACAGCCATACAGGGACAGATAAACAATTCTGGACATAGAACAGGGCTTGAAATTTCCACTCGCCTGCTCGCCAATGGTGAGTGGAAATTATGGCGGGGGTGAGTGTGTCCCCCAGGGCCATCTTGCTGAGCAGGATCAGAGCTCAGGCCGGATCTGTCATTGGCACTGGGAGCTGTCAGACTGCTCAATAGCTGAGCACAGTGAAAGCAAAGGAAGGAGTGTGTGCTGTGCTCTCTGGCCTCCACCTAGAGTGCAGTACCCGTCTCTGTGAATGAACAACGAAGTACTGCAACTTTTTATGGAGGGTGGTGGTGTGTGTATCTATGTATGCATGTACATGTGTCTGTGTGTATGTACATGTGTGTATCTGTACATGTGTCTGCGTGTATGTACATGTATGTGTGTGTACATGTGTCTGTGTGTGTATGTACATGTGTGTGTGTTTGTGTGTATGTACGTACATGTGTCTGTGTGTACATGTGTCTGTATATGTATGTACATGTGACTGTGTGTATGTATATGTGTCTGTGCGTGTGTATTTTTGTGTATGTACATGTATCTGTGTGTATGCGTGTCTGTTCGTGCCTGTGTGTGTATACATGTGTCTGAATGTGTGTGTGTGTACATGTGTCTCTGTGTGTGTGTGTACATGTTTCTGTGTGTGTATGTGTATGTATATGTCTGTGTGTGTGTGTACATGTGTCTCTGTGTGTGTGTGTTTGTTGGTGGTGAGTAACTCTTTAAGGCCTGGCTAGTAGCTCAGGACTTGAAATTTTAAGACTTGATATAGAATATCTGTAATTCTCTAGGGATGTGTCTTAAACTTGCATGTGAAGTACTACTGTACCTGTAGAATATAATAAAGCCATAGTGACATTTAAAAGACAAAAAAATACCATATAAATTGCTGTTAAATTACATTTTGTGGCTGTTTTGTTCTGTTTATAAATAAAGCAGCCAGGATTCTCTTCAATATCTATACCAAACCCTTACCTTAGATGTTGGCATGGTATGCATTGAAAGGGTGGACTCCAGGAAAAAAGGATTAGGGTTTCACCTAAAAATCCATTTTGCTTAAAGAGACCTCAAGCAAAAAAAAAAAAAAACTAAACACTGACACATACCATTGCTTACATCCATACAGGGATGCACAGCTCTGGATGCAAATTATCTATAATCCCTTGGGGGATGTCTTAAATCTGCATGTATGATGTCTGGCCACAGGTTTCCCTCATAATCCATACCAGGCCCTTATCCAAGCTTCCAGCCTGGCTGGCCAGGAAATGGAGAGTTTGTTGAAGTGTATGTTTATTTACTATTTGAATTTGTTTTTGTGAACAAGTAACTAGGGGTATGTATCCCTTACTTATTCACATAGAGGGGGGATACACAGGGGCTCCTTTATTTTAAAGTGGTTTCCAGATTTTGATATGATGCCCTCCTACATCTACTGGAGGAGGATGAAAGGAAAAGGCCCATGTTCCCCCAAAAAATGTCAACAAGGTGTTTTTCCAGGAGGCCCCCCATGGTACTCTACCATGTTGAGAGCATATGGCCTGGTATAGTTCAGGAGGAAGGGCACCACATGCTCACTGCCCCTCCCTTTGGTGGTTAGCCAGGCTGCATGCTTGGATAAGGGTCTGGTATAGATATGGGGGGAGGGGACATTATGCATTCTTTTTTTTGCATTGAATCCCCCTCTAAAATCCATACCAGACCAGTGGCGGACTGATTATTAAGCACTCGGGCACTGTCCGAGGTCCCAGGGCCAGTAGAGGTCCCCATGAGAGGCTCCTGACTTCACTCACTCTTACTTCATCTGGAAAGGGATGAGGTGGGGAGGAACGGGTTTACATGGGATTGGGGTGGTGTGTACATGGAGGGCACAGCCTGTAAGACCAGGGCCAGGGACAGGGACTGATTGCATCATAAAGATGGCTGCCACACGGTGGCCATCTTTAAACCTGGAAGTGCCCAGCAGCTTCTACAAAAAGAAGCTGATAACTTCCATGCAGGCTATGCTTCCGTAGATATTTAAATGCTCCCTCTATGTAACTGAGCTGCAATATGTAGGTGGGGCTTTGTGTAGGTGTGATTTACTATTTCCCGGGGGCCTAATGAGTTGTCAGTCTGCCCCTGTACCAGATCCCTATCTAGAATTAGACCAGTTAAGGCTGGTATGGATTTTAGGTAGACCCTCAGATTGTTTTCACATGCACCATAACAACCGATGGCTCCGTGGCTGCTGGCTTCTTAGAAATTAAGGACACCGTCAGTTAGAAAGTTGTAGGTGGCCTGCCTGCACAGTGTCTTTGGTTGGGAGTGGGAAGCCATTCATTTAGTGGTGGTTGTGATACTGCAGCAGCAAGAGCTTCATTGGGTGGACAAACTGGCCATTTAATTGTATAAATGTGACAACCCCTGCGTTGGATAATATATCACATCCTTACCCTCGGCAGTTGTAAAAATTAATAAAACAATCCCTGTGGCTATAAATGGAACTATAAATGACACAGCACCATATTAATCATAAGTAAAACCAACATGTGACCCAAAGAGTTCCATGACTTGCTTGGTAACAAGGGCTAATGGAAATCTGGTGAGCCTTTTTTTCACTTATTGGGCATGGAACACAGAGGTGGAAGAAATTTGTAATTGTGAAGTGTGAAATGGACTA